ACTGGGCCTAAGCAAAGCAAGTAAGTAACAACTCCTCTGTTTGGCATTTAAAGCCTTTGACAACCTGAATCCAACCTATCCTTGTGTCCCATATACACTCTTCCCCTTCACACATTCAGCAGTTCAGCCAAGTTGGCCTTTTTGCTGCTGCTTGTGTATACCATTCCATCTCCTGTCTCTATTGTCCTTTATTGCCTGGGACTCACTCCTTCCACACTTCTGCATTATATAATCCTGTTTTCTTCAAAGCGCTGCTCAGATATCACCTTCTTCACGAGTCCTTTCATGACAAACCTCCCACCACAGCTTCTCCTGCTTCTTCACCCAATTATTTTATATACCCTTACTTCTATGTATATGTATCATCCTCCTACCCTCACCCCATGGAAGACCCTTTGAGGTGATCATTGTGTCCCCAGAGGTGAGCCCAGTGTCTGGCATATAGTAGTTGTTCAATAAATGTATGCTGATCGATCGTCTCAAGCATAGCATAATATGTAAGTTTTAAAAATAAAGTGAATTTGTATTTTTGAATGAAGAGAAATTTAATGATATAATTAAAACATTTAAAATGTGAGTAAATGTAAATATATTTACAGAGACATATAGTATTTCTTCAGGCTTTGTGGCGTATTGGGCCCTCTTAGAGCCAGGAATACTTGGCTCGTGTTCTGAGTCCTCTGACATATATTAGCTTTGTGATCAAGGGCAAGTCACTTAACCCATAAGTTCCCTAGGCAGCTGCTAAGGATTGTAAGTTCCAGATGAGTTAGTTGGTGATTTGCGTCAGTGGACAGTTTCCATACTAGACAGTTCCCTATAATGATAAAATCACAAATCTGGACACCACTACCACCCCCTCCCAAAAACTTCATCCTCTATTGGTACTTATTGTACTTTCACATCTTGCTGGAATGCCAGAGTGCAGTAAAGAAATGGTTTCAGAGGTAGTTTTTATTTTTCCTTACTTTCACTGATCTTGGGAAAGCCCCTGAAAATTCGAGTTTCTGTGGCAGTTTTGTTTTGTTCTTTAATAGTGGCGGGGAGTTGATATCCTTGTTGAACTTCCAACAGGCCACTCTTAAAGAGTACATACAGTAGCTCCCTCTAGTGGCTTACCCCAACCTTGAAGCAGGACCACCTCTTGGAACAATTACACAGCAGGATGTTTGCAGTTATATAAAAGTTAAGAAAAGAAGTGCTCACATTGAAAGAGAGCTTTTGGATTTATAAAATATTTGTTTGGCTCTATTTTGGCTTCAATTTAGAGATGTAAATACTAGCTTAAAATGTGATTAAAACATTCTCTACTCCAACCTATTTTTTATATTGCTGCCAAGATAATCGAGTTTTTTTTCAGAGATTTGGATGCTCATGTCAGTATTACACTCAAAAAATTTCCCTGGTTTCCTTTCTCTGGCATTCAAGTACCTCCATAAACTTGAGGCACTCTTCCTTTGTCTTATATTGTGATAAAATGGTAAGATAGCCATATCTCATATTGAGAAGCAGCATGGTGTAGTGGGTAGATGTTCAGTAGAGGTTCAGTCCTTAGAGGAAAAACAGGGTTCAAGTCCTTCTTCTGATGTTACAAAGTGTGTGACTGTGGAAAAGTCACTTAACTTCTCAGTACCACCAGGTAAATCTCTAACACTATAAGTTACAGACAAATTGTCCATCTGCATTAGTAGAGAGAGTTTCCACATCAGGAGTTGTTTATATCTTAAAAAAAAAAACAAACAACTCTGAAAACTTTGCAGCTCTGAAAACAAATATCTCATATTCTTCTCCTTTATGCATTCTATAGGCCAGCCCAGTTGATCTACTCTGTGTCCCACAGCCCATGATGTACTTTCACAAATTGGTGTCTTCCTAGCTTGTTCCCTATGAATACTGAAATAGGCAAATATATACAAAGAAGACACAAAATAGCAACCAGATATCAGGATAGTCTTCCTGCAGGAAGGACTTTATGAGAGGAGGAGGAAATGTATCCTAAGAGTGAGGTATAGCTAGGGCAAAGGCAATGGACATAGAATATACAGAGAACAGCAAAGAAGACCAGTCTGGCTTAGAACATAGTTTGGGAAGGAAAGTACTGCATAGGCTTGTGAAGGGCCTTCAAAGCCAAACAGAGGAGTTTATATTTGATCCTGGAGGCTATGTAGCCACTGGAGCTCATTGAGTAGGGAGAGTGACATGAATGGATGTGTGTTTTAAGACTATCGTTTAGACAATTAAACGGAGGATGAGTTAGAGAGGGAGAGAGCCTTGAGACAGGGAGATCAGTTGGGAGGCTATTGCAATAGTTTAGGCAAATGGTAATGTTGTCTTGAGCTAAGGTGGTGGCTGTGTGAGTGGAAAGAGGAGATAAAGGAAATGGATGTTATTGAGGTAGAGGAGGATAAGACTTAGCAACTGATTGGATATGAGAAATGAAGAATGGGTTGTGAAATGGTGAACTTGGGTGACTAGAAATATGGTAGCACCTTAAACAGAAATAGGCAAGTTAGGAAGGAGGGCTTTGGTGAAAATAAAAATAGTTCTATTTTGGACATGTTGAGTTTGAGATAACTTGTGGGACATAAAGACAGGAAAGTCTAATGGCAATTTGTGATGCAGGACTGCAGTTTAAGGGAGAGACAAGAACTGGATATAGAGGTCTCCATGGTACAGTGGAAAGAGCACTGACTCCGGAGTTAGAGGACTTGTGTTCATCTCTGATGCTATCTCAGTGAGCCTGCATAAATCACTTTCAGAGCTTTCATTTCCTCACCTTTAAAATGAGGGAGTTGGATTCCATGGCTTCTTAGGTCCTTTCCGGCTGTAAATATAAGATCACTTGCATAGAGGTGATAGTCAAGCCAGTGGGAAATGAGTGATAATCATAATGAGAGAAAATATAGAAAGAGAAGAGAAAGGCAAGAATGGTTTCATTTTTGTCTTGATATTTCTAGTGCCCAGCATAATACTTAGACACAGCCAGAGTGAGGGTGGGACCTAAAGGATGGATTATCTAGCAAAGAAGACTAAGAAGGGATGAGCACAGAGGTAGAAGAATAACTAGGAGAGAACAATGCCGTGAAAACTTAGAGAGGTGAAAATGTTTTGTAGAAGGGAGTGGTTAACAGTTTCAGATACTATAGAGAGGTCAAGAAGGATGAAAATGGAGAAAAAGATTATTGGATTTTGCAGTTAAGAGATTACTGGTAACCTTAGGGAAAGTAGTTTCACTTGAGTGATAAGGTCAGAAGCCCAGACTGGAAGTGGGTGAGTAGGGAGTGAAAAGTTCAAAATGTGTCTACAATTTTTAGTGGAACTTTAAGTGAAGTTGGAGTGTCTTATACTTTTCAAATTGTCTAAAATTTAGCCATCACCTCAATTAAATTAATTTAAGAGCTGTCACCTAAATGAAATCAAATAAATAGCATTTCTTTCACAGAAATGAAAATTCTTAGAAAAAATGATATGCAGCTATTAATGAACTATTGAAAATTGTCAATTAAAAATGTATTCTTGTGATTAGAAACAGAATAGATGCCAACTAATTGAGGAAAGGCTAAATACTGGTAAATGCAGAAAATATAAAACCTAAAGGTAGCAATTATTTTTTTTTAGAAAGTCTTGTAAAGACAAACAAGTGAAAAATTGTAAGATCTCTGATCAATGCAACGAGCAACCATGATTCCAGAGGACTGATGATGAAATATGCCACCTCCTTGCTTACAGAGATTGTGGTGGGCTCAGGTTACAGAATAAGCCACATATTTTTTGATGTGGCCAATTTGGGAATTTGTTTTTCTTGACAACATATATATTTGTTAAAAGGCCCTTTTAAAATTGGACTGAAGGAGAAAAAAATGCTTTTAATTTAAAAAATAAAATAAAAAATTCATTGCTATAAATTAAGATGTGTATCTTCATTTTCACTCCTTTTGGTGATATGCAGTGTATATCATGTTCCTGTTGTCTGCTTAGCTGAACTTCCTCATAGTAATGATATTCAGCTGTCAGACTGAGCATATTTTGTTTTAGGGTACTTTAAGATTTGAAGTAAAGAAGTTGTCACTTTTCCCCCTAATATAAAATTTTGTGAATAAAAAATGTTTTATTTGTTCTCTATTCAACAGTTACTGAGCACCTACTATCTACAAGGCACCAAAATAGAAACATTAATGTTGTTAATAATTAACATGTTATAAATATGGCCTCCATGACTCCTATAAAGATTTTATCAAATAATTTTGATTATGTGTATTCCCATATGACACTGACTGACCTCCCCATAGCACCTGTTCCTCAGCCCAAATTATAGTCTTGTAGATTATTGGAACATCTCTTAATCCTCCATTTTTATTTGGGGTTTCTGGTACTGCAAATAATAAGAAATAAATTATAACTTGAGTGCTTTGTTCATATTGTAACAAATTATATTTCAGGAAAACATCTTCCTGTATATCCATTCCGATCTCTCTGGCACTGTACATTGTCTTGAAACATTAGGCCTACTTTTGATGGTACCAGAAGTGCCCATCCTCCTTCCTTCTCTTGACTAATCCAAATTCAGTACTTCCTTCAAAACCTTTCTCAAAAACCACCTCCTAGCAACTGTTGTTACTCAGGATACCATGATGATATATCAATAATATCTGGTGGTGCTAAAGATTCCAAATATTTAATACTAAATTAAAATTTCAATTTTAATAATATTTGTATTTGTTCTCTGGATTATCTGTCTTTTCTTTCCAAATAAATGTCAGACTCCTTAAGGGCAGAGACTATGTTTTCGATTATTGTTGTCTTCCCCCTTTGTGCCTAACGTAGTGCCATGCATATAGCATGCCATGAATATAGCAGGCACTCAATAAATATTTGTGAAATGAATGAGTGAACTTGCACAATGTTAAAACATCCTGAAACAAAAATCTGGATGTTCTAGGATTGGAACCATGCAAAGACATTTTTATGAGTGTTTTAACCTTGTTTTTTTTTTTATCCAGATGCTAGATGAAAACCATCACCTAATTCAGTGTATTATGGACTACCAGAGTAAGGGCAAGACTGCAGAATGTACTCAGTAAGTAATAGTGCCGAAGGACTGTTATTCTTGCCTTCCAGTGCCACTTTTTTTTTTAGTGGTAAAAGAAACATGTATGTGGCAGAGTGTATTTGCCAATTAACAAGGCTTTATGTAATTTGGCTATTAACAGGCTCTAACCAGAACACATACTTCCTGTTTTCTCCTGGAAGTGGTACCATTCAATACAAATTAAAAATGACCATGGAATAGATTCCTTGACTATTCATCTGAAAATTTTTTATTAAATTTTGGCAGCATGGCCTAGTAGAATGCACACTAGACTTGGAATAAGAGACTCTGGGTTCAAATCTTAGCTCTGCTTTTTCACTACTTGTTGTGTGACCTTAAGCTAGTCACTTAACCCTTATGGGCCTCATTTCTAAAATAAAGAGATTAGACTAAATGATCTCTAAAGACCTTCCCAGCTCTTAAGCCTATACTACTATAAATAGTTTCTATAAAAATATTTTGTTACACTTAATATAAAAGTGAGTGTTCTCTACACATCCTACTGTGTGAATGTCTAGTATGGCAAATAATAAATAATAGATTTTCCTTTCAACTTCAGGGCATTTGGTTGGCGTATCAAACTTGTTACTTAGTTTTTGTAGAATCTTTTTTGTGCCAAAAGCCATGTTATTCTTAGGTCCCCCAGAGTTCACATTTTGGTTGCTGGTTGTTTTCAGTGTAGAAACTGGCTGCTAGGATTAGGAATTATATGGCATTTTGGAAGGAGTACTGAATTTGGAACAAGAGGACTTGAGTTCTAGCTCTATTACACTAGGCAGATTACTTAACCTCTTTAAGCCTCAGTTTCCACATTTATAGAATGGAGACAATAATCCCTATACAAATAACTTCATAGGGTTACTGTGATGAACTTTGTAATATACTACTGTGATGTACTTTGTAAGCTATAAAGTGAGATGTTAAATAACAATAATTGCTACAATTAAGGGTCGCAATAGTGAGAAGTCAACTTATAGGACATTTTTAACAAATTAATTTATCTTAACATTCACTTCCATAAGATATTGAGTTCTAAATTTTCTCCCCATATCTCCTTTCCCTCCACCCCAAGATGGCATGTAAATTGATATAGACTGTACATATATACATTCATACTGAACCTATTTTCACATTAGTCATGTTGTAAAGAAGAATCTTAGAACCAATGGGAGAGACCACAAGAAAGAAGAAACAAACAAAAAAAGAGGAAAAAAAGAGAGACAGCAAATAATATGCATTGATCTGCATTCAGACTCCATACTTCTTTTTCTGGATGTGGACAGTATTTTCCATCATGAGTTTAAAGGACACTTCTTGACATACATTCACAGAAAATAAAAAAAATAACGAAAAAAAATCCGTAATGATGAAGATAAGGTGTTCTTCCTTATTTTTGAATAGAATTCCCTTTAGGAGTAGAAAATGAATGAATAGTGATGATAATAATGCTAATAATAGATATTTGCACATCATATTGCATACAATTATCTCTTTAATCCTTACAACAGTCCTGCAAAGGAGGGACTATAGGTATTATTCTCTCTATTTTACACATAAAGAAACTGAGTCTCATAGAGATTTAAGTGACTTGCCCAAAGTCATGAAGCTAGTAACTTACTAGCCCTGGATGGGATAGTGGGTGTACCAAGGGTTTAGCTTGACCTTAGTAATTTTTATTTAAAGTCTGAAAGGTTACTCCCAAGTGATTAGGTTACTTCCAAGCTAACCATCTGGGCTGCCATTGGTCAAGGTATAGGCATTTATTACAGTCTGCTCCTTGGATATTAAGAACTGCACATGCTAACTCTTTGAACATAAGCCCAGCTATCTTCCCAGATTTTGTTTTGGGCCATTCTGAAGTTCATCAAGAACATAAGGTTAAGAAAAGTTAATAGAATTTGATAAATAGGATTGAGTTACTCTGCATATTCACACTTTTATTTCAGTTGAATTGCTGCGATTACATCTGTGATCTCCCAAAGGAACCTTTTCCTCATTAAAAGAGAATCCTGTATCTGATTACTTTCTAAAGGAAAGTTGGTATTTTACTATGAGCTAGGATTTCTTCTTGAGTCCGTATGGCATCATATTTATTGTTTTCTACTTTTGGCATGAGAGAGCTTATTACTTCCGTATGGAGTATACTTTCTGTTGAATGTCACCATTTCAGATGTATAACAAAAATGTGCAAACTGAGTTGTGGTGATCTGATGCCTTCCTGAGTGGGGTGGCATTTAGATTCTGCCTTATTGGTTACTAGAACCAAGGGACTTTAATGAAAGAGCCAGGTTATTTATTTGTTTATGTTACTTTTTACTTTATTATTGGTACCTAGGAAGCACTTAATAAATACTTGTTGTTTGATTGATATTCATGTAATATCATTAAGATATCAATTATAACAAGTCCAAACTGATTTATATAAGAATATTCAGTATTGGTCTCCAAACCCTGAATAATTTTACTCCTTTATCCCATAGATACCAACAAATACTACACAGAAATTTGGTTTACTTGGCAACAATAGCAGACTCTAACCAGAACATGCAGTCTTTGCTTCCTGCCGTAAGTATTTCTACCCAGTAGAATCTAGGATGCCCGGTGGAGGAAGGATTTGGTTCTTTACAATACTTCACTGGATCCCTGGTCTCATGAGTATGGGCGCCTCCTCCAGTGCAGACACAACTCATTAATACCTTCGCATCCTTTGCAGTTCTTGTCCCTATCTCCTCATCTTCAAAGGTCTTACAGTGACTCATCTTGGTATGGAGGTGATCATGGTAGCCCAAAGAGCTGGGGACATATAAAAGTATGACTTAGACTTTGCCTTCACCAATTCCCATACTTTGGGACAGCAATTTATGTAAGCACTATAACTTTATCCTTTGAGAATTCAAATTTTGCTCCCAGAAGACCTCTCCTTATTATGTCTTCCACTCTGTGTTAGATAGTATGATTCCATTGTACTGGCTTCCTTTGAGAGAATGGAGAGGTAATATGGTCAAAATGAAAACCTGCTGGACTTTGGGGTGAGAAAATTTGTATTAAAATTGTGATAGGAATGAAATTATCATGGCCAAGTCAGATAACCTCTCTGAGCCTCAGTTTCCTCCTCTGTAAAATAGGGATCATAATGCCTGTACTACCTACTTCATTAGGTTGTTGTGAAGAAAGAAAGTATGTCATAAACTTTAAAGGGCTTTGAAATGTGACATTGTTTTTGCTGCTCCATTGGGAAAACAAGCCTGGTTCCTCATGCTCTTGAGAATTCCTTCATCTCAAAAGTCAGGAAGTTAGTTATGTGATTCCTGTATATATTTTACAAATCAAAATGGCTAAAGCTCTTTTGATTTTTACAGCCCACCTTTGTGATGTTTAAGTCTGAGGTTCTTTGAGTCCTTGTTTACAGTAACATTTTAAAAAATTTATTTTGATTTAAATCTCCCTGTATGATTAGTGTTAGATGTGGGGCAGTTAAAGAATAAGAAAGGGAATGAGAGAACTGCTGTAAACCTAGGTGGTGAGTGCAAAGGATTTGACACTGGTCTTATTTGAGTCTCCATTGTAAGATCATTTCTACCTCTGCCTAAGGCAACTTAGGTCTGTAAAGTTTTTGTTGTCTGGTTGATTGATGCAAATGACTAATATAGAGGATCAGTCCCCATGTTATAAAAAGTGCCAGTTTTGCACATCATTCTCAGCTGAGAAATTGAAATCCAGTTACTCTCCTTCAGTATTTAAAATAATATGTACAAAAGGATGCTGAATTCTTTCTAAATTGGCTTATTCATTAATTCTGTAACATTTATTAAAGCTCTGTTATGTACAAGCACAGGCAGCTAGATGGCCCAGTGGGTAGAGTGCCAGGCCTGATGTCAGGAAGACTCATCTTGGTGAGTTCAATCTGGCCTTAGACACTTACTAGCTGTGTGACCCTGGGTAAGTCACTTAACCCTATTTGCCTTAGTTTCCTCATTTGTAAAATGAACTGGAGAAGGAAATGGCAAACTCAGTATCTTTGCCAAGAAAACCTCAAATGGGGCCACAAAGAGTCTGACACGACTTGAAAATGACTAAAATAACAACATAGACCAGCACAATGCTAGGTGCTAAGGAAGAAAGGTAAATAAGATGTGACATTTGCCCACAAAGAATTTATTAATGATGATGATGAAATATTATGGTCATATATATACTTAAAGAATTTGTGATTTCATCAGCGTGGGTACTCCCTGTACTGATGCAGCTCACAGCCCCTCTATAACTTAGAAATGTTTTTTGAGAGTGGCCAACAAATTTCTAACCTTCAGTCAACTCGATGATAAGCATCATCCAAGTTTAGCATGACTAGCCCTTGGACAATAAGCATACAGTTGTTTATCCCTGAGATATGGTCAGACTTTTTCACTGAGGATTATATGCTACAAACTTATACTGCTTTCCTGGCATATCTAGAACCTGACATCCTCTGTATTCTACAAGAAGCCATGAGACTAGGACTTCAGTGGAGGCTTATGATGAATATAATTATATACTAATTACAAATTATTATAACACAACACTAATATAGGTTTAACAGTCAATAGTGTAACAGTATATGATAGTTTAATAGCATAACAGTATTGATTATATTTTCTGTAGCATAGTTGTTGTTGTTGAGTCATTTCAGTCTTGTCCAACTCTTCAGGATCCCATTTAGGGTTTTCTTGGCAAAAATATTGTAATATTTTCCAGTTCCTTCTCCAGCTCTTTTACAGATGAAGAAACTAAGGCAAACCAGGGTTAAGTGACTTGCCTAGGTCACATGACTAGTTCAGTGTCTGAGGCCGGATTTGAACTCACGAAGATAAGTCTTCCTGATTCCAAGCCCAGTACTCTATTCACTGCACCACTTAGATGCCCTGATAGTTGCTATAATAATGTGTAATTATGTGATATAAGTTATTAATAATAATGATACTAGTAAAATATCTTCTCATCTCTTTTTTTTTTTTGAGTTCAAAGAGAAACAGTCCTGGGACAAGTCACTATCCTACTGCTGCTGCTCTTGTTGTCAATGATGTTGTGTTTTTTTGTTGTTGATACTAACTTGTTCTTAAAAATCCGTTTGCTTCATCAGTACAAGGTTGGCCACCAGGTTATGAATGGGGGAGAGGAGGGCATGAAAAATGTCTTCTGTGGCCTGAGAGCTTTGTCAGTAAAAGAAGGAGTAACAGGATGAATTAAGTTCTGGATTTTTTAAAGTACTGAAATATGGTCACGTGTGCATTGAACATATGCTTGGATGGAAAAAAACTGTGGCTTGAATGCAACATCTTTTTTGTAGATGTTAAAGTATCAAAATGTTCATAAACTTGATACGTGGTTTAGAATTCCCTATGTATGATACAGTTTCTACATATTTAATGTTAAATGTATTATTTTTATATAATCTCAGGCAGATTAGAACTCCAAACTAAACAGATTTATATATATATATATATATATAAATTATATATATACATATATAAAAAATACATATGTATTATATATATAAATGTATATACACACACATATTTATCTTTGTTTGGAACACATATGACAATTAATCCTGTGTGGTAGAAGTTCATGAGGTTAAAAAATCAAAATGAATGTAGTTACAAGCCTTATTTCTGGCACCATAGTGTATTTTTTTGCTTAATAATGTCTTCCTAAATAATTAACTTGAACTCCATTTGATTGTTTGTAGCCACCAACACAAAATATGAATCTTGGGCCAGGAGGAATGCCTCAGAGTGGGTCCAGCCAATCTATCCATTCCCAGAGCAATCTCAGTGACTCTATTGGAACAGGCCTCCCACCATCCTCTCTTATGCAGAGTCAGATTAGCAATGGTAAGCATTCAAAAAGCCTTTTGTGCTTTTCTTTTTTTAATAGTTGCTTGGCAACAAAATCATTAATGCAAAGTGTACTTTGAAGATGGAGGTTTTTTCAGACAATGTAACTCACCTTTCAGGCTTATGGGAATTTATTAATCACTTGCTGAAATAGTCACAAAATGGCTACAGTCAGTTTAGAAACTGCCTTCCAAAAGACTAAATACAGTTTAGAGATGAGAGATATTTATGTGGGGACATATAAACAGTTAACTGTTCATAGGCACACATTTATCTGGGATTTAATGTGCAAAGAATGGGTGCATAGCTGTTATTTCAGATTAAATAACTTAATTCATCTTGAATTCTCCAGCTGCTTCAAAAGGCATAAATATGTTCCTTTCCAAAATGTAGGATATATATTCTTTTAGTAAAGAACAAAATAATATTATCTATGACACAGAGAAGCATTTGGTAATAGTTGAAGATAGTACAATTCATTTCCTTGCAAGCAGTATTAACATTTTCTCATTAATTCAGAACCTTTCTGTAGTAATGCTTTTTCTCTCTGATGTCTGAGGGTAGCATAGAGCCGTAGTGGACTTTAAAGCTGGAAGGGACCTTATAAATTATCTCTTTGAATACCTCCTTCCTTTTTACAAATGAGGAAATTCAGGCCCTGTGAGGACTAAGGTCACAGGGAGGAAATCAGGATTGGCACCTAGTTTAGACTCCAGATCATTTATTGCTGTACTCCTCTTTTTTTCCTCTTCCTCTTCTTCCTCCTCCTCCTGTTCCTCCCTCCCTTCCTCCCCCTACTCTTCCCCTTCCCTCTTCTTCTCCTTCCTATAATTGTTCTAGAAAATCTCTGGATTGGTTTTTTAAAAATAATTTCACATTGTTTAAACTAAGCATTTAATTAATTTCCGAAAGCTACATTAAGCTGCTAACTTCATAAAGAAATAACCCGGAGTTTTTACATTAAGCCCTAATGCCTAGGCACAACTTCTCCTGGCAGTGTTTCCCATGTCAGTAAGTGAAGTGACCTCCCTTCACTGCAGGTAATTTAAATACTTGGTTAGGGGAAAATCTTATTTGGAAAATTTTAATAAAAAGATGAAGGGGAGGAAGAGGGTTTGTTAAGTTTCATATGGGCTCCAGTGCCTTGTCTCTTTTGCACCTCTGGAAACTTCCTTATTTATCTTAGCTCTTTCCCGCTTGATCAGATGCTCATTTGTATGATAGAATCTGTCTGAATTTGGCTTTTGTGTTTAGTAGAGTGGGGTGATGATAATAGAATCATGGAAATTCTGTCCTCCACCAAATGAACCCGTGAGAGTAGGTGTATACCAGACCAGTGAGTACAGAGCAGAGAAATTGGCCTTTTAAAAATTGTCTCTGCAAGTTTGTAATTAGAAAAATGTGAAACCTTTCTCAGAAAACATGTGACTAAAATAAGTGAAAGAATATAGAGGGTGAGAAGTAGATAAGGCAAAGGGGTAATGGTAGTCATGAGGGTTGGGAAGGAACTGAGAGATGGCATTCTGGAAGAGAAAATAGACAATGGCCTGTATAAATAGGTACTTTACAAATGGTTTTTCAAGAGTGACTAGAAATCTGAGAGTCACTTTTGGAAATAATTCTTGCTGTGGGTCTGAAAGGTTGATGTATGAGTAAATCTCAGAGTAAGTTAGAGATTAGAGTATTTATTTAGCACCAAATCTGTGAATGGAATGCACATTAGGCCTCTCTGAGACATTTAGTTTAGTGCCTTTTTAGGGTTCTACTGAGTATGGAGTAGAACAGCACAAAACAGAGGAAGCCTTGGCTCTACCACTTTCTCTGTGACCTTGGATAGGTGTGTTTACTTCTTTGATCCTCAGTTTCCCAATATCTAAAATGGGGAAAATAGTATTTAACCCATCTCAAAAGGTTTTTACGAAGTTTAAATGAAATAATTTATGCATTTTGTAACCATAGTATGCCATGTCTGTTTTCGGTTATGATTAGGTTAGTTTGTTGTTGTTGTTTTTTTACTTTAAGCAAATGCTGTAACACCCAAAGCTATAATTAGATAATGTTTATAAAAAGCACTTCATAAACTACAAATCACTGTATAAGTATTGATTATTATTATTATTTGTATTACTTTCATTATTGCTTTTTCCTCTTTGAAATAGGTCCTAACCATGTGTCCATGCAGCAATCTGGGCAAAACACAATGCCAACAACTTCGATGAGTATGACAGTCAGCAGCCATGGCACGGGGCCGGGATATAGCCACACTGTGCCTGCCTCTCAAAATGTGCCAATGCAGAGCCAAGGATCCATAGGAAATTATGTATCTAGAACCAATATCAACATGCAGTCTAATCCAGGTAACTCATCCTCTTCCCCTTGCTTCACTTTGGGCTATGGACAGTTCCTTGGTGTCTTAACATGGATGTAGCATGAGACAATGAACATTCTTTTTGTGTGCAGAAGAGAAATTTCATTCTGATAAATGTTTATAAAATAACATCCCATCCACTTAAGAATTCTTCAGAAAAGTTACAGTGAGCAGTCATAACATCTCGGTTTTAATTTTTATGAGATCTAGGCCTCCGTATAAAGTAGGGCAAGGAAGAAAAAGAGTGGGTTTACTTGGAAGATGTATCTTAAAGGCTTCAATGCCTGGACAATGGGAACTAGAATAGTGACATTTCTGTATGCAGTATAAGACCCCCTTTGGTAATCCTGCAACAACCATGCTTTCTGTTATTTTCTGAATGTAGGTACGTTTTAATATAGCTGACTGAAAAAGATGGGTGATCTGACCATGTAGTAGGATATTGGTTCAGGTTAGTATGCAGGAAATTTAATCTGGATATTGAGGGGGGAAATTAATAAATTTCATAGTCTTTTGTGTGGAATAGTAGGAAGAGAGTGAAAGAATTCATTGTAACTAACAGATGTAGTCTTGGTTTTAAGGAATGTGTGTGGTATGGGAGGGAGATGACAGCGATGACTCATTTAGGAAAGTGTTCTGTATGTGTTATATAGTCTCTATGATGCACCAGCAAGCGGCAACATCCCATTACAATTCTGCACAAGGTGGGAGCCAGCATTACCAAGGACAGTCCTCTATTGCAATGATGAGTCAAAGCAATCAAGGAAGCAGCATGATGGGTCAGCGACCAATGGGTCCGTACCGGCCCTCACAGCAAGGTAAAATCTGAAGATGTTGCTAGGAAAAAAGAGTTTAAGTTTTTCACACTGACCATACCTTGTCCACCCAGTCCTGCAAAAGAAATATAGATTGTGCAAGAAAGAACATAGAGAAAGTCAGGAAGGCTGAGTATTCTAATAATGTATCAATGCTTTATTTCTGTATTTCTCCATATCTAATTTTTAGCAAAATAATGATGCTCATAATCCATTTCACAATTCTGTGTAATTAGCAGTTAGAGCAGAATCCTTCTGTACTTTGGTCTAGTGAGATAACTGAAAAGCCTGGAAAATAAATTGAAAGTACAAAATGCCAAGAGGAGAAATGCAGAAAATGCTGGTTACTCAAGTTCATTGTTGGAAGTAATGAGAGTTTTTGAGAACTGCATGGCTAAATATTTGGGTGAGTTATTGGGTGTTCCTAGATAAAGTATTCTGTCGAGACAAGTGTAAGTAAGACTTACATAGTCCTTCATGGGGGCAAGTTGGGAAATATTAGTTATTGTGATCATTTTAGGTTTCACCTTCATGTTTCGTCACATGACTGTGGTGTCTACAAATATCAACCTTATCTTGTTGTTAGTATTTTTTTAATCAAAGTAGTGTTTCTTTTATATAGAGCAGAATGTCCTTGAAATCCACTTCTTCTAGATTACACATTATACACATATGTGTATCTATATGTGGTATTTAGAAATATATGTCTAGTTGACATTTTCTTGGGTTTAGAGGCAAGTTAATACATTCTCTTTTCCTTGGCTTTTGCAGGGTCTTCTCAGCAGTACATGGGGCAAGAAGAGTATTACAGTGAGCAATACAGCCACGGTCAAGGTGCTTCTGAGCCAATGAACCAGCAATATTATCCAGATGGTAACTTTCTTGTGGCTTGGGAGTAGGGGGAGAAAGGACTGAAAACTTGTTTCAATTTAAAAAATATATGAATGATTTATACCATGCTTATAAAATCAGAGAGACTTATAACATTCAAGCCGTTTTGGTTTGTTTGAAGCAGATGCTGTTCCAGGTTGTTGTTGTTTTTTGTTTTTTGGGGTTTTTTCCTCATGTAGGATTCTGCTATGACATCTTATTTCTGACCCACAGCACTGCCCATTCAGTAAACCAGACCTGGGTCTCCTTTGATCAAGAGCTAGACATTTGATTGTGCATCTGATAGTGTAGATTAGAATGAATCCATCAGGCTATTTCTGTTGTGATTTGAAATATGAGCTACCAAAGTGACAGAATTTAAATGGAACCCATTGGTGCTATACCCTCACCCTTGGTTTTATCTGAGGGCTTTTAATTTTCTTTTTCTTCCAAGGCACTGTATAGAATCTTCAAAATGTAGGGTTGGAAGGTGTAAGATGTCACTTGTCTCACCCATCCCATCTCCAAGCATGGATACATATTCTTGAAAGATGTATATAAATCTCGTTGTTAAAGAGCTCCAAGACAGAAGATTCCAAAACCTTACTCGGTAACTTATGCCAGGATTTAACAAGAGTCCACTAATTTTTTTTCAAGTCCTTTTTCTTCCTAGTAAGTCACCTCTTAGACTTCTCTTCTTTAGGCTAAATAATCCAATGTCTTTTATTCTTGGGGCCTTCTTTCTACTCCTGATCATTCCATTCTGCTTCTCTTAACCTGCATATTCTCCTCATCCTGTCCCTCTTAAATTGTGAAGTCCCAGACAGAAGAGGGATGTGGAGAATTATTATTGCATAAAACCTATTTTATAAGTGGTACACTTGATCAGTTAACATGAATTTATTGAATACCTACTAAGTGCTAGATATTGTGGTAGGCCCTAGGGATACAAAGTCAAAACTGTAGCAGTCCATGCCCTCAAGAAGCTCACATTCGATGGGAGTGGCAACATGAACATATATGAGTGTATAAAGATTAAATATAAAATAAATGCAAATTAGTTTAGGGAGAGATGATATCAGCATTTGAAGGGATCAGGAAAGGCTTCTTGGAGGAGATTGTGCTTGAGAGATTCTATGAAGCAGAACTGAGGAGGGAGAACATTCCAGAACCCTCTTATAACAAGGCCCATCTTTGCATTCATTCAGTAAGTATTTATTGAATGGCTACTATGTATAAGAGAGAGATGCAAAGATATGTAGTAACAATAATATATGAGATTTAAACATGATCTTTGCATTTCAGGAGTTTGTAGCCTAGCCAGTAAGATAAGACACATATACATATAAGTAAATGCAAAGTATTATTAGATTGGTAGCACAAAACAATGTTCTGTAGGGGTTCAAAAGATGATTAGGTAGAGGCTAGGGGGATTGGTAGATGTTGCTGTAAGGGGGAAACAATTGGTCTGGGCCTTGAAGGGTGGGTCCAGTTTCCATTCCGGGGATAGAGGACTGAAGGCATTGAGAGAATATTTCAGGAGGCTGGCATGGTGTGAATAAAGACTTGAAATCAGGAAAGTACAAGATATATTCAGGGTATGATAAGTAGACCAGTGGGCAGATTCAGATATGCCATAGGTCAGATCATTTACCCCCAAATTAGAACATATAGCTATATCTTGCCTACTCTTTTCTCAACCAAAAAAAAAAAGGAAAGAGAAAAGGAAGGGAAGAAAGAGAAAGAAAAGAAGGAAGAAAGGAGAGAAGGCAGAAAGGAAGGAAATTTTTCTTTGTTTAAGGCAAAATGGTGTTCCATGGAGCAGTTAGTTCCATAGGAACCATTTCATAGTGGGGTTTATTTAAAATATATTGCAATATATTTATAATATATTAACAGTCCTAGCTCTCATGCTTACTAACTGTGTGACCTGGACAAATTTATTTAGCCTCTCTCAGCCTCAGTTTCTCCCTCTATAAAATGATGGGGTTGAACTAGAAGTTCTCCGAGGACCTTTGTAGTTATGAGTCCTATGACAGATCCTGTGGGCTGCTGGCCTTTCTAATGCTATTTGTCAAGACATGGTGCAGGGCAAGCCTCATTCCACGTTCCCCAAGACCACACACTTCATAAAGGTGTTTCGCAGCCTTGAGTTTGTCTCTGTGCTCCTTTGGTTTCAGGACATGGTGATTACGCATATCAGCAGTCATCTTACACTGAACAGAGCTATGACAGGTCATTTGAGGATTCTACCCAGCATTATTATGAAGGAGGTGAGAAAACTAATGGACTTTTTTTTGGCTGACAAATGTTTAAATGTGTAATAGCCGTATTCAGTAATCAATCAACACGCGTATAGTAAGTGCTCACTAATTGGCAGGCACAGTGTTAAGCGCAAGGAAAAGTGATATCTAAACTATTTGTGTGGGGGAATAAAGCTTATGTGAGATAAAGTTTTATAAGTTTTCTTTTATCTGTAGTAACATAAAGTCCAAAATTTCATCGCATCCTTAGTGAAATTCATAGCATGTTAGTGTGTTGCACGTCTTTTGAGAATCACTGCTCTAAATCCTGTAGAAGTTAGTAAAGAGTGAGGAATACTTTACATAATTTGGTAAATTATAATATTGCAGTTTAGGGAAATAACTGTCCAGTAGATAGTCATTACATAGTTTTATATTGATCTGGACACTTTCTGAAATCCTGACATATAGATTATTTATTAGGCCATCACACCTACTTTATGTCTAATGAAAATAACATCAGTTACTCAGCTATTAGCCTTAAAGTGAAAGTAAAGAATCTTAGAACAAATAGTAAATAAAAAGAGGTTTGGCCCTTTGCATTAACTTGTGATTTGGAGACAAATAATAAATGTGAAATGAAAAATGGTATCATTTAGATTATGCAAAGATCCAGTTTTAGAACTGTAATTCAGGCTTTTAGTAATATTTCTTTTAGAAGTGCACATTTCACAAATGTAAGGGATACACAAATATAAAATTATTATTATTGTTGTTTCTAGGTGTTATTTACATTTTACAGATGACAAACTGAGGTTGAGGGAAATTAAGTCACACAATTAGCAGATGTCAGATTTGAGGCAGTGTTGTATAGTAGTTGGAAAGCTGGCCTTCAAGTTAGGAAGACCTGGGTTCAAATTCTACCTCTGACACATACCGACTGTGTGCCCCTGAAGTAGTTACTCTCATTGCTCCAGTCAGCTCTCTGACTTTAAATTGTAGTGAATTTGCCGATATGCATTCATAGAGGGAGTTCATTACTGGGAATTTTCCATAGCGAAGAAATCATAGGACTAGACTGACAGAAAAACAAACAGAAAACATTGAGGAGGGAGAGCTAACAATCTAGTCAAAATAACAAATATACTCTTCTGCAAATGGGCTTTTAAATACTGCCATATGAGCACTCACATTTAGAGGGGTCCAGAGTCAAGATTTGATCTGAATGAAGTAAATAATCAAAGGTTTCCAGAAGGTTTAGCAGTATTCATTCTTTCTTTCATTTATTCACCAGACACTTATTAAGCACCTGCTTTCTAACATGGGCTCTCCTGAGCATCAGGGGAAATTCAAACATAAATAAGACATAGTCCTCTCTCCATGGAGTTAAATATTCCAGTGGACTTAGGTGGGCAATGATGTGATGGAATAAAAAAATTTTTTTTGCAATTTTCACATTATTGAAATATACCTGGAAATTCTAAAAGGTCAATGTATTTAGAATAGATTTGAAACTTGGTTGATTTCTTGTGTGTATCTCAGCATGTTTTCAGACAGTAACTGGTTGGTCTTTTTTTTTTTCTTTAGCAGAGCATTCAGAATAATGCCTGTGGTTGACATGGGAGGTTTTAAAATCTTTTGGGACATAATAATTCATGTTAATATGGCATTTAAAGATTTACAAAACCATGTCCTCACAGTGACCTTGGGAAGTAGGTAGTGCAAACATTATCCCTATTTTATAGTTAGAGGAATTGAAGCTCAGAGAGGTTAAGGGATTGATCCAGGATCTCACAGCTAGTAAGTATAAGAACTGTGTTATGGAACTGGTTCCCTCCTCACTCCAAATCCAGTGCTTATTTCCACTGTACCACACTGCTTGTTTTCCTTCTGAAACAGTGGCTATTCATTTACTTTTCAAATTTTCTTACTTTGGCAAATTTTGATTTGGATAAAGGTTTTGCTATTTCTAGTTCATTCTCTAACTACATTCTGCCCATAAAACTACTCTGGTTGTTTTTATACCAGTTCTATAGAGCAGAAAATGTTCTAGAGAACACCATGATTTATCAGGCATGAGTATTTTCATAAGTAACAACAAATGTTACATTTCCTTGGATCACCACACTGTGTTGCCATATTCCTACACAAATGCCAGCAGCAACAAAATGGTCATTGATGGGTTTCCCATTAGAAGCACAGATTTTGCTGATTGAAGAGGTTCTGTCACTGATAGCACAGCTGTGGAGAGATACAGAAATGCATTTTTTTTGGTACTCCAGTTCTGCTGGTCGTGTGAAATATTCTTGATCGCTGTTGAAGAGGCAGTCAGGGTGACTGTACTTTTGGATGCCTGTGCTTTGAAACCTCTCACTTTTTTTTTTGTCCATATCAAGGGGCTATCTATTTTCTCCAGCTAAGTGAGATCATTTTCTGTTTGCCCAGGTAGTATGTATAGCTTGTCATCAGTGCATGAAGAATAAATGTGCTACTGTACAACACCAAAGCATTCAAAGCACCCAGAAATAGCCACCTTAATGTGTTTAAGAAAACTCATTTTGCTTTAGACTCAAAAAAAGAAAGTTTAAAATGAAGCAATTTTGAGAATCATTTCCTTCATTTCCCACTCTGTTGCTGGAACCAGAATTGTATTTTTCAGAAAAGATTAGCAGAAGTTAATGGCTGCTGAAAAATTCTAAGGATGCTTAATAATTAGACTTAAATTAGGTTACTCAAGTATCAAATAAAGAATACAACTTTTATTTAAGAGTGTCCATTTGTTTTGTTGTTCTGTGTAATTGCAAATTGAATTTCCCCCATAGTTTTTAAGTAGTCTCAATAAAAAAGATTGCTAAGTTGTACTGAAACAAGTAATTTCACTTTATTTTTTCCTTCAAAGAGTAATGAATAAAATAATGCTGTCTGTAAAGTGTGAACAAATATGGGAGATGTAGGGATGACAGGGGCGTTCTTTGGACACCAGCTGGTGTGTCCTGGCACTTTTGAAATCATGACTCCATTTCCTTATCTCTGGGACAGTTTTTGATTAGAAAAACTATCCATTTCAGGCCATGCTGTTTATTTGCATTTTCAGTGCCAGAGATGAGTAAACAATTCCTTACATTCCATCTGCCCCCACTGTGTGCTTCATAAGAACTGGAATTAATGGAGATTTAGGATTCAACAAATTGCAAATTAAAAGCAATGTGTACTTTGCATGTTTTTTTTAAACAAAGCCCTACTCAAAAGAAAATGATTCAAATAGACAAATAGAGTCTATTTATAAAGATGTTTTGAAAATCACTGAATGGGATTAAACCACCAAACTGAATCTGAAATGGCAGCTCTTTAAACTCACATTTTAGAGGGACTTTGTTGAAGTACTTTAAAATACAGTAATTGCTAATATCACTTTTTAACTTTTCTATAATTGCTTGGTAATGCAGTCATTTCATAATAAAAATTCTTTTATCCTGTCTAGCACAAAGACTAGGCTTTGACAGTTTTTTCCCAAAATGATGCTTTCACAATGAATTCTAGATGAGACTGGCTAGTTTTTAAAAGTGAGAATTAAAGCTTTAATGACAGGGGAAAGAAAAGGAGAAGAAAAAGAACAACATGGGTTTTTACTAGTATTTGTAATTAGTAAATTCAGGTCAGATTTCCAATTCCTTTTGTCTACATATCCAACATCCCTATTTCAAAAATCCACTATGATTAGTATGTGCCAATATTTCCAAATTCAGATTACTTGTTCCTCCATAAAATTAAGGAATTGCATAAATTCTGGGGTCCTTTTGTATTCTGACACATTGTATGAAATATGATTAAGAATAGTTTCATAAAAATATGATTCATAGGATTATTGATATTAGACTAGAAAGTATTTCACAGGCCACCAAGTTCAATGAACTCACTTTAGAGAGGAGGAAGATAGACCCAGGGAGGTTAATCTGCCCATGGTTATATAGGTAGAAAGTGACTTAAATGAGATTTGAACCCAGGTCTTCCTCTGCACCCTATAGACTCTCCAAGAGAGATTTCCCAGAGCCAGGGTGTTTCATTCACAGACTGAAGAGCATGTGTTAAGCAAATCATTGCACCCAAAGGGCTAGAATTCTGTGTCAGCTTCACTTTAAACACCCAATGACCATTTGAGAGTGATTATGGCCATAGTTACAATCAAATATGAATATATCAGCTTTTGGACTCCTTTTCCTAGATTGTATCTTCTCAGTGCTGGTCCCTCCCACTCAGTTGTAGCCCAATGCATAAGTTGCTAGGAGTGCTGGCTTTCTTGCCAGTGAAAAGATGTTCCTAAATGAGTAGATCCTTTAGACCAGTGCTTCTAAACCCCTGGTCCACAGATGACTGGTCTGTGCTCTTATTACTAAAGGCCTTCAATTTCTTTTTTTTAAAAGTGCATTTTATTAATGCCTTTTGTCTTTATATCACAGTTATTTCCCACCCTTTTCCAGGGTGAACCCTTCCTTGTGACAAAGAAAAACATTAAGCAAAAACATTTGATACACAAGCCTTGTCTGACAATAGGTACAGTATGTTATCTTGGTAATCTTCCACCTCTTAGCCAAGAGGGAGGAAATATTTTTTGTTCTACCTTCCCTAGGACCCAAAAGGCCCTTAGCTCTTGAAAGCTGACTTTACAAACATAAAAAAAAATAATTCCACATTCTCTTCTTTCCCTGTACATTCTATTCCTCCCAAACTGAGTTTCCAGTCTTCACTCCTTTAGCCATTGAAAGACTAGAGCAGTTTGCACTAGAAGTGTTTGGATTGGGAATTAAGCTCTTTTTGAAGCAAATGTTATGGGCTGTTTTTCTTTGAAACAAACTTTCAAATGTATTTGAAACACAAAGGTATAGAAATCATCTATTGAAGCAACTAAAGTTAGATAATAACATCATCTCAAATGAGCTCTGTCTTCCCTGTTCTAGGAAATTCCCAGTATAGCCAGCAGCAGGCCGGATATCAGCAGGGAGCTGCCCAACAGCAGACATATTCACAGCAGCAATACCCAAACCAACAGAGCTACCCTGGACAGCAGCAAGGATACGGTGAGAAAAACAGACCAGGTCTGTCTTCTGCAATTACATCTGCCACCTTTTTCATCATCCTAGGATGTAGTTCATTAGGGTCTGGTAACTTGAATTTATCAAAGGTAGCTTTCTTACTATCTACGTGAACTTGTCATGGTGTTCTCTTGCTACCTCCCTACTTGTCTTAGGATCATAGAATCAGAGCTAGAAGGGACCTTAGAAGTCACTTAGTTCACCACCCTAATTTGACAGATGACCAAAATAAGGCACAGAGAAGTTAAATGTTTTATCCAGGATCGCCCAGCTAATAAGTGCCTGATATAAAATCCACCACATGGTATGGCCTCAGAAAAAGTCTGTCTTCTTTCCATTATCTATTATCGCATGAACCATTTTTGTCATCCTTCTGATTTGTTGCAGGCTCAAGCTCATTATAACTTCAGCATGACTAATCTGAATTGTTGGAGGACCATCCTCTATTACCTGCCATTGTTTCCATCTTCTATATATATTTTTTAATTTAAGTTGATGGATGAATTTCTTAAATGTCCACTTTTGTCCATTTGGACCACTCCATCTTTTTCTCTGAACTGGAATTTTTTCCCTTTGTGTTTTCAGAATTTTTTTCTTTTCTCTTTTTCTTTCATTGATGTCATTTCCAAATATACCCTTCTCCGATACATACCCATAGTGAACCTTCCCTTATGGCAGTGAAAAACAGTTAAGCAAAATCAACATACACAGTAACCATATCTGACAGTGTATGCTAAAGTCCATATCCATAGATCCTGTCCTCTTCAACAAAAGGAAGGAAGTACGATTCCTTACCTCTTCTGCAGGGACAAGATTGGTTATTACGATTAAACAGCATTCATTCAACTTTGTTGAGCATTGCTTTCATTTGCATTACTTTAGCTATTGTGTATACTGTTTTCCTGGTTTTGCTTTCTTCACTGTCCATCCATTCATATGAAGCCTTCCATATTTCTATGAATTCTTCATATTTATCATTTTCTTGTTAGCATAACAATATTCCATTGCATTTATATACCACAATCTGTTCAGTTATTCCCCAGCTGATGGGGAATCAGTTGTTCCCAATTCTTTGCTACCACCAAAAGTGCTGCTATATATATTTTGATATATATGAGTCATTTATTTTTGTCTTTCACTTCTTTTCAGTATATGCTCTTCCGTGAGATCTCTGGGTCAAAGGGTAGAGACAGTTTAATACTTTTTCCAAATAATTTCAAATTGTCCAGGTTTTATTCCTGAGAGCTTTCAGTTCCTCTTGGGCTGACTTTCCCTGTAGAAATCTTAACCCATGAGATCATACCCATCCTATCTCTGAAAACTTTCAAATCTACTCTCCTAAAATCTAGCAATGAAGTAGTCATTTTTCTGTAAAATTACTAACATTTTGAACCCAGCAACCAGTTCTTCCTTGTTAGTGAGAATCAGATTCAGAGGAGTAGTTTCCTTTGTTGTTTCTTCCAACTTTTGAAGTATTTGGTTATCATTAAGGCAAGTGAAGAAAGTATTAGCTGTCCAGCTTAGAGAGAAGGGGAAGGAAAAAAGAGAGAAAGAGAGAGAGATGCTCTGCCTACTTCTTCCAAAATTTATATTTCCTTAAATGAGTATGATCTTAATAGTAGTACTCTTATCTCCTCCCAACTTTTTTACCAGTCTTACTCCTCCTGGATAAAGTATGCCATTCCAAAGCCATATTTCAGTTGTGGATCTTATCGTACCAACTCTCAATAATACTATGAGGTCAAATTTACCTTCTTTCACTGGGACCTCCAATTGACCTGTTATGCATATTTGTGCATTTGTTTACAGATATCTGAAGGCTTTGTGTTTTATTGCAGGCTTCTTTATTGGATTTTTATCTCCTGTGAATTTTTGGATGTCACTACTCATTTGCCTCTTGTGTTGTTGCTATGACAACCCTATGACAAGGTTTTTTAATATGGGATCCATGAACTCATTTTAAAAAATATTTTTATAATTATATTTCAATATGATTGGTTTCCTTTATAAACCTGAATATTTTATTTAATGCATTTAAAAACATTATTCTGAGTGTGGCAAATGAAAGATGTAACAATTGAAGAAATAGAGATTTGAGCTTCTAAGCATGTCAGTTTATTAAGCAATGTGTGCCAAATGCCTAACAAGTCAGGACTAGGCCCCTCAGCTTTGGCACTGGATCCCAAATATAGGGCAAGTCATTTAACTTCTCCGAGCTTCAGTTTCCTCAACTGTAAAACGGGATAATAACAGCACTTAACCAAAGGGTTGTTGTGAAGATCAAATGAGATATTTATAAAGCAACTTCAGTCATGTCCAACTCTCTGTAACCCTATTTTTGCAGTTTTCTTAGTAAAGATACTGGAATGGTTTGCCATTTCTTTCTCCAGCTCATTTTACAGATGAGGAACTGAGGAAAACAGGGTTAAGTGATTTGCCCAGGGTCACCCAGCTCTCAGAGGCTAGATTTGAACTCATGAAGATGAGTCTTCCTGATTCCAAGCCCAGTACTCTATCCACTGTGCCACCTAATTGCCCCCTTAGCACAGTGCCTAACATATAATAGGTGCTGTATAAATGTTTATTTCCTTCCTTTCCTTCCCTCCCCCCCATCCACTGTGACACCTAGCTGTCCTGTTCTCCTTCCCTTTCTCTTCAGTGTCATATTCTTCTTTGTCTTACTCACTTATCTTGTTTTGCCAATCTCTTCTTCACTAGTTTAAATTATCACCTTCTTGCTTCTCCTCAGATCCTTCCCCTCTTTCAGCTTCTCCAAAAATCCTACCCAGTGCCTTTACTCCAAGCTCATTACCTGGTCTTCAGAATTTCAGAATCATTCAAATATCCTTCGAAATTCCTTCTCCTTCTTCAGCTCCAGTTCTTCTGTTCCAGCTCCCACATTCCCTTTTCCTATCAGATAGTAATAGAATCAATTTGCTGAATGATCGCTGAGGCCTCACCTGTGTTTTGGATGGTGCAAATTTAGCAACTAAAAAATAGAATCAAGGGATCAAAATATTTTCATATTTATACCTTCAATATTATTATTATTATTTTTTGCTTTTTGGTGAGGCAGTTGGGGTTAAGTGACTTGCCCAGGGTCACACAGCTAGTTAAGTGTCAAGTGTCTGAAGTCACATTTGAACTCAGGTTCTCCTGACTCCAAGGCTGGAGCTCTATGCACTACGCCACCTAGCTGCCCCTTTCAATATTATTTCAATATTGGTACATATTCTGTCTGAATTTTAATGATTTGCATTCCCTTAAACACCAAAAGAATCTGAAATAATTTCTGGTACTATGAGGATGAGGACAATTTCTAAAATTGTGTGTGTGATTTCAGTGTAATTTGTGGGTTTAAAAAATTAGGTATAGGTATTATTTACAGAGAACAAAGTTAACTTGTATTTTATGAATATATAAATTAATGGTGTATAATTTTTTATTAATTTATTTATTTTTAGTTTTCAACATTCACTTCCACAAGATTTTGAGTTCCAAATTTTCTCCCCATCTTGTCCCGCCCCCCTACCCCAAGATGGCATGCATTCTGAATACCCCTTCCCCTAATCTGCCTTCCCTTCTATCTCCTGCCCCGCTTCTCTTATCTCCTTCCCCTTCAATTTTCCTGTAGGGCAGGATAGATTTCTATACTCCATTGCCTGTATATCTTATTTCCCAGTTGCATGTGAAAACAATTCTTAACATTTGTTTTTAAAACTTTGGGTTCCAAATTTTCTCCCTTCCTCCCTCCCCACCCACCCTCATTGAGAAGGCAAGCAACTCGATACAGGTTATACATGTGTAGTCATGCAAAATACTTCCATAGTGATCATGTTGTGAAAAACTAAATATTTCTCTTAATCCTATCCTACCCCTTATTTATTCTATTCTCTCTTTTGACCTTGTCCCTCCTTAGAAGTGTTTGCTTCTGATTACCCCCTCCTCCAGTCTGCCCTCCTCTCTATCATCCCCCTTCTCTATTGTCACCTTCCTCCCTATTTTCCTGTAGGGTAAGATAGATTTCCATACCCAATTAAGTGTGTATGTTATTCCCTCCTTAAGCCAAACCCGATGAGAATAAGATTCACTCATTCTCTTTCACCTTCCCCTGTTTCTCCTCCACTGTAAAAGCCTTTTCTTATCTGTTTTATGTGAGATAATTTACCCCATTTCTACCTCTCCCTTTCTCCTCCCAATGTAATCCTCTCTCACCCCTTAATTTTATTCTCCAGCTATCACCCCTTCATCTTCAACTCACCTTGTGACCTCTATTTATCTATCTGTCTTTATATACATACATATAATTTTTTTCTCTCCAACTACCCTAATACTGACAAAGGTCTCATGAGTTACAAATATCATCTTTCCATGCAGGAATGTAAATAGTTCAATCTTAATAAGTCCCTTATGATTTCTCTTTCTTGTTTACCTCTTCATGTTTCTCTTGAGTCTTGTATTTGAAAGTCATATTTTCTATTCAGCTCTGGTCTTTTTAGCAAGAATGCTTGAAAGTCCTCTATTTCACTAAATGTCCATTTTTCCCCCTGAAGGATTATACTCATTTTTGCTGGGTAGGTGATTCTTGGTTGTAATTCTGTCTCCTTTGACCTCTGGAATATTATATTCCAAGCCCTGTGGTCCCTTAATGTAGAAGCTGCTAAATCTTGTGTTATCCTGATTGTGTTTCCACAGTACTTGAATTGTTTCTTTCTGGCACTTTGTAATATTTTCTCCTTGACCTCAGAACTCTGGAATTTGGCTACAATATTACTAGGAGTTTTCTTTTGGGGATCTCTTTCAAGAGGTGGTTGGTGGATTCTTTCAATTTCTATTTTGCCCTCTGGTCCTAAAATATCAAGGCTGTGTTCCTTGATAATTTCTTGAAAGATAATGTCTAGGCTCTTTTTTTGATCATGGCTTTCAGATAGTCCAATAACCTTTGAATTCTCTCTCCTGGATCTATTTCTAGGTCAGTTGTTTTTCCAATGAGATATTTCACAATGGTGTATAATTTTTGTAATAATTCACCTTTTATGCTTGTTTTCTTAGGTCCTGCACAAGGAGCTTCTTCACAGTATTCCAGCTACCAACAGGGACAGGGACAACAGTATGGAAGCTATAGAGCTTCTCAGACAGGACCATCTGCCCAACAACAGAGGCCTTATGGTTATGAACAGGCAAGCTTTTCTGAAATTTTCAGTATTAATGATGTATTTTTGGCAATTCTCCCTTGAAAGGTACTAGAAATAAGGCCAGGAAGACCTGGGTTCAAACTCTGGTACACATTGGAGGTATGAATTGCAACAAGTCATTTATCCTCTCAATAGGCAGGTCTTGAAAGACCCTAGAGTGGAGTGACCACAACTGATAGATAGACTAGAGCTGCCCTTTTGCCACTAATCAAGGGTAAGCATATGTCCTTGACACTGAAAAGTTTGTAGGTTTGTTTGGTTCCTTAAGTCCACCAGTAATAGTTCTGATGGAAGCATTGTTTTGCAATTGGAAAACAGTGTATTGTAACTCTGAATTTTGCCTTAAAGTTTAAAACTAAGGACCTCTTGTAATAAGTTTTGCAAACCAGATGAAATTTACCATTGACTGGCAGTATGCAGACCAGTTGTAGTGGAAAAACTGGTCTAACGTATCCAAATGACTTGTTTGCTTCTAATTATGAAGAATGAATACACATGATTCAGTTCAATTCAACATTTATTAAGCAGCCATTTAGTACGAAGCCCTGTGCTTGAAACGAGGGATATGAAGCTCTAAAATAAAACAGTTTCAGACTTCAAGGAGCTTATGTTCTTTTAAAAATTACATTTTATTTTTAATTGACAGACATTTGTTTTCTTTCCAAATTTAAAGAAATAAAAACAAAATGCTTATAACAAATATGCATATTCAATTAAAACAAATATCTACATTGAGCTTATATTCTTAAACCTCTTATAGAATTTTTACTAAAATTGTATCAGAGTTCCACATACTAATTTATTAAGAGGAGCAATAGAAATAAATAGATTTTAAGGTAACCAATGTCTACCTGGCATCCTATGAATTAGTTTGGTCTTTATTTAAGAATTATGATTTTACTCTTTAAAGGACAAGAAGATGTATAAGAAAAAGTCTTGAAAGCTGTTTTAGGCTTCAAGGATCATTCTTATCTCTGTGTTCTGGTATCTAATGTTCCATTTTAATCATTCAGTCAACAAGCATTTATTAAGCATCTACTACGTGTCAGAAGAAATGCAAAAAACAGTCTCAAGGACCTCCTAGTATAAAGGAGGAGACAGCATGCAGACAATTAAATGCAAACAAGACATATGCAGGATTAATTTCAGATAATCAATAGAGGGAAGGACTAGCATTGAAGGATATTAGGAAAAGTTTCTTGTATAATGTTAGATTTTAGTTGGGACTTGAAAGAAGCCAGGGAAGTCATGAGGTGGAGGTGACAAGGAAGAGAAGTCTAGGCATGGGGGTCAGTTTTATCATTTTTTTCCAGGGTATTCAGTCCCTAAAATATTCACACCAAACAAATTTATAATATAATGATTTCTAAGCCAGAATGTCAGCCCAATGATTTAGAAAAGGAAATTACAGGCTGTTTATTCAGGCCAACCCATCAGAACATCCCTCCTTCTGGTACAAAATGCCTGGGAAACTTGATTAATAATTAGAAGGTGGTTTGGTGAATATACAGTCTAGATAGGAATTAAATTATCATAAGGGATATTTTCATCAGCCTGTGATAGCCTGATAGTTATTCTTTTCTACTAACCGGATAATTGAGTCAGCTCACCGGGATACAGTCTCCCTTATAGTCTGCAGAAGATACACTGACAAATTCTTATTTTCTATCAGTCCACCAGAGCCCTCTATGTGCTCTTGCCTTTTCTCGTTTCAATATCTTTTCATAAGAGGCTACAGTTTCTGAGTTTGCAAAACATTTTGCAGTGATTATATTTTAGGTTGCCAGACTTCAGGTGACACTTCAACCTCATTGATAACGTGTCTCTACACCACATTATAGGGCAGGTTATTTCTGGGAAAGTTCTTTTAATAGCTAATCTCATGTGCATCGTGTATATTTTGGTTACCTTTCAGTCAAATAGAATATTTCTTGCGTGACTTGGGTATTTTTTATGCCCTAGATCTTGGAATCCATCTTAGTTAGGGACATATACGCTCTTTCCATAAAATATATAACCTTATTAAGAAAACTACAACATTATTAACCACAAAAATATAATCTTATTAACATTCTCTTTTAGGGCCAGTATGGGAATTATCAGCAATAAGAGACAAGCTTCCTGTTGGATTCATTTCAGTACTATGTCCATCTTTGGAACTTGGTGTACAGAAGGTTTTGACTAATTGTAATATGTTGGTTACCCCTTAGCACAAAGCAGTGTCTGTATGTGAACAGTGTTCATTTCATGCCGGTGATGAAGCAGTGCACTATACTGGCAAAAAGACAATGCTTTAATGGTCTGATATATTTGGTGCTGTGTATAGTATTGTATGTTGCTACAATGCTACTTTTTTTTTCTTTTCTCTTTCCTCTTCTTCCCATTCTTGATGTTTCTAAATAGCTTTAGGGGTCATTTTATCATCAGAGTTTTTTGTGCCCAGTTATGGGAAACATCTAGGATATCCTTCAATCCATGTATTTATACAAACTGACCTTAGGTCTAATTTCTCTATCCATCCTAATGTAGATTAGGAACCTCTGTTTAACTGAATGCAATGCAGTTTGTCCATGGTTTATGATTGCCTCTGAAATATATTCCTCTTACCTATACTACTTTAGGGGCAGGGGCATTCTTTGTGGTATGTCAATTTCCATGCTACACAATAAAAAACAAATTTCATTTACGGAAGATATTATGAACAATAGTTTCCAGCGCTTACTAACTACCCATGTCTCATTCTGGTTCAGTCTATCCAAGAAGATCTACGTTTTCGTATTAAAAGGTAAAGAGGGATCATTTATTCAAAATAATCTGACTCCATAGAGGTGTCTTAGTGAACAATATAAAATGAGGAATATGGTATGAATGGAAAGAAAAGAGAATTCTTTGGGGATTTGTTCATTAGAAGTTAATATTTCTTTGTTCTGTGTTTATCTAATAAAACATTTCTGGCATTTGAATTTTTTAATGTGCCACATCTACATTTATAGATACTTTTAAATATTAATGCCAAATTTTCCTGTCAAGTGGTTAGTTGATTCCTTGTATATTATTTCTTCCAGGGTAGTTCAGGTCTCCATGCAAACTTTGTAGTCATAACTAAGATGTATTTCTGGGCTAAGTTTATTTTGCCCCCCTTTTCCTACAGGAACTTGATTTATTTGAAATACAGATTAGGCAGAAAACAAGAGAATAAATATTCTCCTTTGGCAATTCATATTTTACTGTGAACATATTGAAAAGTAGAAATTTGTGAAAGTTTATATGGTGAATTATAGTTAGCTTAGTTTCTAAGTGAAGAGATCTTGAAATCTGTGTATACAATACAGAGTAACTCATTTTGAGCAATTTTATTAAAGGAAAAACTTGAATAAATTTCTAATGTCATATGTTTGAGATGTGATTGAACTTTACTTGGAAAATAAAACTTTTATTTAACAGGAAAATAAAAAGAACTTGGGGAAAATACTTAAACTAAATACAAATCTTTATAGTACAACAAAATATAACCTGAAGGAAATGTCACCTTTTTTAAATGTGTGAATTCTGGTGGAGATAGTCTTTTTATTATTGTTGTTACAGGTTTTATATTTTAAAAGCTCAACAGTAGAAAAATAGATATAACTTATCGAGGCATATACATTTGCTTTCTTCCCTTAAGATAACAGTGGATTGGGATCACAGAATTTTAGAGCTAGAAAGGATCTTAGAAGGGACATCTAATCCAGCTCCCTTATTTTCCAGATGGAGAAACTGAGGGCCCAAAGAAGAGAAATGACTTGCCTTAGATCACACAACTAGTTAGTGGCAGAACAGGAAGTATAAGCTAGGTCTTCTGACTCCCAGACCAGTGTCTTTCCTATTGTACTTCACTGCCTCTCAACCAACCAACAAATACAATGTCAATTGATAAAATTGGTTGACAAATAGTCATTGATTGCTTGGAACTGTGTGATGAAATAAGGAAAAGATTGCTTTTTTTTTTCTATCCTGAATCTCATATCATCCTTGGTAGATCCAGGGGCACAAAATAGTAGAGTTCTTCTTAAAAGTTCCCCCCTCTCTTGACCTCTTTTCATTACACTCGCTAGATTTTCCAGTAGTAGTACCTCCAGTTCTCCATTGTCTTACCTCTGCAGTGTAGGTTATACACAGTTCCATACAACTCAACTTCGGTATAAGTTGAAGTAATTTGTAGGTATAAACTATTTATAACAAATAGATATCATCAGCTTTGAGAACTAAAGCATTCTACAAATCTTAAAGTTTCATCACTCCTCTGGGACTAGCATGTTAGCAGATCAGGTTTAAAAGCACTAACTTAGGTTTTTTTTTTTTTGTCTTTCAAGATCATATGACTTAAAGCTGAAAGGAACTCCACATCAGGTATTCTTCCTGTTATACTATGCTTCCTGTCATTACAGCCCATAGCTGCTTCACAACACTGGGAAATCCTTTTGTGTTTGTAACAAGCCAGTAACTTGGACTTTTTCAGCCATACTGATTATACATCATAGCTACCATTCCTATCCCTTCCATTTTACTTTTAAGGGCTTTCCACCACCTTACCCATTTCTTTCATGCTCATTAAATCTCAGAAAGATAACGGATCCTAGAGATTAACCTCCACCCAAAGTTGAGCTCTTCTTTTCAACTCTTTGTCAGATAGTTATCTAATACTTACCTGAATAGCTCTTGTGACTAGGAACTAATCACCTCAGATTTCAAAACATTTCTATCTTTAGTCAACTCTTGTTTTCTAGAAAGCTCTTCCCTTATAGATTGCTTTTTGTTTGCTTTAACATTATCTGTATTAAATGTTACTTGAACTCTGCCATTGCTGAGTTAACAGTTAATTGCTAAAAGTGATGTGAGCAATTGAATTTAAGGGATCTGTTCCCTGTGGCTTTGTCATTTCTTTCCCTTCATCACAATTCTAACACAACTAATTTGAAAATTCCCATTGAAAATATTTGAAGATTTAGATAGCAAAGAAGATGCAATTTATTTTGCTTCTTGCCAGCATGGAAATATGCCTCTTATGTACATTTTTTAAGTGCTGAAACAATACTTTTGAGAGAAAAGGACATTTAAAAAACATTACCACTACTACACCAATTTGAAATGTCTTACATTAAGAATTTCTTGAATGTTGTGTATATATTTAAAAGAGCACTTTGGAAAATGGTTTATACATTTATTTCCTAATTTATACATGATTTTTGGTGTTAATATTTCTAACTGTTAATAACAAATGTTTTATTTAATGTGTTTTCCATTTTTATGTATTTTTGTGGGAAGGAAAAGTAAAGCCAGCAATTCAGACTTTTTCATCAATTGTATCACAACTTCTGTAATACTGAATGTTTAAAAAAGGCTTAGGCTAAAATGACTTGCTCATGTAGTGTGTTGATAGTACTTTTTTTAATAAACCAATGAAAGACTTGATTAAAGACCAGTGAAGAAGCAGTTGGGAACTTTGAGAAATGGATGCCCGTACTTACCTATTATTGTCTGACATATCATAATGCATTTGAGAAATGGTGGTGAGTTTTCAGAATTGTTGAAAAAAGTGAGACTGGTATGCAAAGATCATAATGCATCATAGTTTTGAGTTGATCACTGTCTTTTGATGATATAACTTTAGAATATTACAAATAATACTAGGAACTCATTTCAAAAGCCATTGTTAAAGGTATCATGGTGGGAAAAGGCTTTCTAGAAATTCAAAGGAAGCCTTAATATGTCTATATGGATGGAGACTAAGTGAACCTCTGATTTTGTCAGATAATTTATAGAGACAAGTCTATAGCATCCATTCATTATTGTAAAAAGAAAAGTGTTTTCATTTTCATTTGAAAATTTATAGCCATTATTACATTCCTGTTTATTGAACAAATCTGTTTAGTCTCTGTCAATTGTGAGTACATTTTTCAATAATCATCTTGATTGTTAGTTTTTTTTCCCATCAGATTTGAGTTTGGTGTATAAATGGAGTTTATGCTTTTGATGTAACCTATTAATAAATTGGTTCTTCTAAAAATCATATTTAATACTGTATTATGTAGTTTTTATGTATTTTGAAAACAGATAGATTAGATTTAACTCTTAACATGTTCAGCAAATCATGTTCAGATATTCGTTAACACCCCCCCTTTTTTTTTTACTTTTCTGGCTATACCAAGCAATAATATTTCAATATAGTTAGTAATACTAAGGCTTCACATTGTAGAAATGTTCGTCATGACATTCAAGTCACTAGAAAACAATTTTAACAACTTAAATATAGAAAATATCAGGAACATTTAACTACTAGTAATAATTGCTATTCTCTACATGTCTAGATATTAAAACAATGCCTGATATTGCACTCATTTAGAATTGCTAAGATTTGTTACACAAATATTTTTAAATATTGATTTGGACGAAAGATACAGAAACTATAATCTCAACAGGACAGTGTTTTCATAAAGTCTATTTTCTATTTGTTTTTTGAGATTGTTTAATTTGTGGTTTTCCAGTTATTCAATTTGATAAACGTTAAGCATTTACTATGTGCTTAACACTGTACTAAGCACTGATACAGGTAAGAAAAAGAAAGACAGTACTTTCCCTCAAAGAGCTCACAGTCTAACAGGGAGGGGGGAGGGCGGGGAGGCTCGCAGCTGGGAACAACACACAAAAGAAAGCTGGAAAAGGAAGGGGAGAGGAAGTGAGAGGGCATCATGTTCCATGAAGCTTAATTCAAGGACAGCTGCAGATGCTAAGTGGAGAGTTAGCTGCAAAGTCCAGATTACAGAGTTCTTTAAAGGAAAACTTTGGGAGGAATTTAGTGCTCCATCCTCCGGTCCTCCAATCATAGGGTGGAGGAGGTTGCAGGAATTGGGAAAGTAGTTGTATGCCCAATTTGATCTGCTCTTTCTCTCTTTTATTGGTGAAAGCATTTATAAATGCAGATTTTTTTTCCCCCCTAAGGATGACTTTGGCTAAATCCCAAAAGTTTTTACATTTTTGTCTCATTGTTTTCATCTTAAATGAAAATTTTAATTGTTTCTATGATTTGTTCTTTGACCTGCCCATCCTTTAGGAAATAAATTAGTCTACAATTAATTTTGAATCTTTTCTTCAGTGGTCCTTTGTTGAATATATTTTTATTACATTGTGGCAAGTAAAGGATGTATTTAATATTTCTGTTCTGCATTTGTTTGTGCCATTTTTATGCCTTAATACAGTCAATTTTTTGAAGGTGCTATGAACAGATGAGAAATGTGTATTTCCTATCTATTCAATAATCTCCAGACGTATACTATATCTAAAACTTCTAAAATTCTATTCAAGTTATTTACTTCTTTTTTGTTTTGTTTTGTTTTTGTTTAAATTTATCTAGATCTGAAAGGACTATTATCCTGCATGAGGTTGGGGTTCCCCTGTATGGAGCTTGGATCTCTACTTTCCCAAGTGTAGAACCTTGTTTTTCTTTTATTTCCTGTCTGCTGGAATGCTCATCATGGCACATGTCAGACCCTGTCTCCCAAATTCACAGACCTGTCTCCCTTTGCTGATCTGGGTTAGAAATGTGACTGTGATTTTTTTCTTAGATTTCTTGATCAGGACTTGGTCTGATACATTTTCTAAATCTTTGTTGGAGGTGACCAGAAGGGCAATAGGAAGCACAGGGCAGCATTTGCCAGTAATGACTAACATGCTAAAAGGGCTGTAAAAGACTTTATCAAGGACACATATAATCAAAAAAGAAAATGGCTGGTCTTGTAGTCAGAGAGACTTATAACAGATTGGGACCCAAGTTGTGTGTTTATATTCATAAAATACTTTAAAAAACCCAGAAGCATGTAGCATAGTGACAAGAGAAGTGGCCTCAAACTCAGAAAGATCTGGGTTTGAGACCTGCCTCTGATACATACTGGCTATAACAACTCTAGGATCATGTTGGGAGAGCCTGGCTGTACTTCTTCCTGCTACTTTGCCATCTTGGCTCTACTCCATTCTGTTTTACTCACAGGAACTAGCTTAAATTTTTTCTGTAATTCATATATACTTTCATAAAAATTTGAGTGCCAAATTTGTACTTCTATAAACATGAGTGCCAGTAGGGGGATGAAGTTTTTTGGTGTTTCTTGCCCTCATGAAACAAAGTCCAGTGGGGGAAACAAAACATAAATATTGTTGAGAATAATTGCAGTATTACATAAGTGTATTAGGTGGAGAACAAAGTGCTATATAAAGTTCAAGAGGGAAGAAGCCTTACAAAAGGATAGCAGACATCAAGAATGGCTTCATGTAGGAGGTGACACTTGAGTTGGGTGCAGCTAGGTGGTACAATGGCTAGAACACTGGACTTGGAGTCAGGAAGACCTGATTTCAAATCTTGCCTCAGA